TGGCGAAGTGATAGGAGGGGCACGTCATCACCAGATCCCCATAGAGTGCATTAAACGCTCCCTTCAATTGGGACTCATTTGTTGTGTCAATAGTTTTAAGATAATAATCGGACACTTCCTCCACATCCATATTCCCATATTCATCACTCAATCTCTTCACTAATTCTCTAAACACCTCAACCGTTAGTCCCGGTGCTCTCATTTCGGGGAAAAGACACATTGTTAGCACCGGTCCCTCATCTTTAGCCACACCAACCATTAACTCAATGTCTTATTAAAAAACACATTATTAACTAACCAGGGTAACACAATGTTGGCCACTTACCATTATTATATAAATTAGTTTTAAATGCTTTTTGTGGTAAAACGGGTAGAAATTGAGTGCCAAACACGGCGTGAGTGAATTCAATCATATTTCCATTTATGGGATACTCTATGAAAAGGTTTGGGTCATCAATGGCTCGCAAACAGTCCAACCATTTGTAGTCATATTCATCGCAATTAAGACTTTTTGCCAAATTCTTAGCCCTTTGGAGGCCCTCAACAGTACTGAGCGCCGGTCTGTCCTTATTATATAAAACGGATCCGCTCTCCATAATAGCCCTCTTAAACAGACCCTTAGATAACGGCGACAATACATGTGCCGATACGGACCAACTACCGGCGCTACAACCAATTATAGTAATTTCATCCTTATTCCCACCAAATAAATGTATGTTTTCTCTAACCTGAAGTTAGTTTTTGGTTTAATTATTAAATTAGTTAAATATAAATATATTTTCATAATATATACCCATTTAAGAGCTAATAACTGGTCATAAAAGCCAAGATTTCCAGGACTGGTATGATCGCCACCGTATAGGAAACCTAAGGGTCCGAGTCTATAGTTAACGGAAACAATGACCACATCATTGGTGGCCAAAACACCTCCATTAAGAGTATCTTGAAAACTTGATCCAACACTAAGTGCTCCCCCGTAGATATAAAACATAACAGGTTTTAACTCTTGTTTTGTTTGCTTATTATTGTTCACAAATGGTGTCCATATATTGAGAGCTAAACAATCTTCACTTGTCTTGAATACTACACCCATCGATGCAAACAGTGTTGTGTCTTGAATGCAGGAATTTCCTGGTTTTGTGCCATCAATAATATCCTATCAATTTATAGCAAGTTAATTTTAATGTTGAAAGTAGTAGATTGAAAACATTTTACTTGTTTAGGTGTTTTGAGAGGTTGTGGTGGACTGAACCTTCGTGGGCCCACCGGGGGCTCAGCATAAGGTATATTCAAGAATTGATTGATGAAGTGATTCACAACATTCAGTGTCTGTCCCCTCCTATCACTTCGCCAAACAATTTTTAAGGTATATTCAAGAATTGATTGATTTTGTGATTCACAACATTCAGTGTCTGTCCCCTCACTCCACCCGAACTCGTATTCACGACAACACTATTACTCTCATCGCAAACACACCGAACAATTAAACCCACCATTAATACAAAACATAATTTATTATTAATAAACATTTTAAACATATGATTTATTTTTACACATTTAAATTCATAAAACATAAAATAAAATAAGAACATTAATAAAATTTTCTGAAATACTATTGTAATAGAGTAAACTGTCCTTGATGCACTTACAATTCAATTATCTATTTATTCCATAACGTTTATGTTTCAATGTCATTCTTATAAACAACACTTTATTACAATTAACTATCATCTACAAATTTATATACTGATAATCGGGTACATTATGTACTTTAGTTATATGAAAGTCCAAGAGCCCCTGTTATGTGTCAATACTTTTAAGATAATCGGGCACTTCATCCAGATATTTATTTTACGGCTTTCATGAATAAATCGGTGGTTAAATTGTCCCGCATTTGTATTTAATCTAACATTGTATTTTAATTGCTAGTATAAATATTTTGCATTATTTTATTTGATAAACTTCTTATGTAAATTGATACTGTAAAAATAATTACATACTTAAGTGAATTTCTGTATTAAGTATAAGTAATTTCCGAAACATACTAAAATATTAATGATTTCTTAAGTTATTATTATTTTTGTAATTATTTATCAAAAATAATTGCTCCAAATGCCATCACAAGTACTTCCGTAAGGATTGTCCAAAACAAGTGACATATCGTTGGGATTCAAGTCTTTCACTTTTGGCACTGAATTCGCGTCCGAAATGTCTATTAGTTTCGGCCAAACATTGTGTGCTTTTCTATATGTGACAAAATCATGAATAAATTATTTGTAATTATAACTTAAAATTAATTTATATATTTATATTGAATAAAGTGTTTCATTTAACAATTCTGACCCATTTTTGGCAAAATCCGTTAACATCTTCATAATCTCAATACTGAAATCATAATCAGTTTCTGTGAACATCTTTTGGGAAACAAGTGGTGACCCAAACACATAAGGGAGGTCTGCGCCGTGACATATGGTATCACCTGAACATACAGTTATTCCCAAGTTTGCATAGAAATTACTCTGCTGATTAAATCTATAAAAATAGACATTTTGTCCACTTTTGGCAAATTGTTTGGCGAAGTGATAGGTCGCACACGTGAACACCAGATCCCCATAGAGTGCGCTCAACGCTCCCTTCAATTCTCCCTAAGAATCTAGACAGCTAATCCTATTATTAAATAATGTTATAGTATTAAAGTTTATAAGTTATAAAAGTATTTAAATGAATAAAACCTTTACTGTTAAAATTTTAGTCAATTTGATAGCAATAAGTAATTAATACTGTTTATTATTAAGGTTTATAAAATTGCTGTTATCTATTGAAACTATATACATGTATTCAATAAATTTATAATATATGCAAATTAACAATTGCATTATTTCTAAAATATGTGTTAAATGTAAGCATTATATTTAGGATTATAAAATAAAATTTTTAAAGATTTGAAAAGTTTAAGTAAATTCTTGTGGAGGACATTGCATTGTCCTCCACAACCCTTCTGGAGGACTGTTCCCCTTCGGACCGATTGGAGGAGAATCCTTCAGAGTGGAGGAGGTTTGGCAACGCTACTTAAAACTAGTCATAAAAGTATTGCAATGGAAGTTGGTTTAGTATTTATATCTCGCATATTAGGTATATGTGCATGTTTAAAATTATATGGAGTAAGGGTATGGTTACTTGTTCATCTATTGTATCTAAAAATTAATCTAGTATAATAGATAGCAGAAAAATATAAACACATTATGTTTTAAAATTAAATATATTTTAACAGTTATTTATCAAAATACTATTTATACAAAATTAAATTAAGTATTTAGAAAATGTTTTTAAATA